ATTTTAAAAGGTTTTACAAGGTACTTATAAAGTTTTATAAGGTATTTATAACTTGTAAAACCTTATAAAAAACTTGTAAAACCTTATAACTTGTAAAACCTTATAAAATAGCTTGTAAAATCTTATAATATCTTATAAATACCTTATAAATACGTTGTAAAACCTTTTAAAATACATTGTAAAACCTTATAAATACCCTGTAAAAAACCTTTAAAATACCTTGTAAATTTTTCCCGCCAAAAATTTAACGCCAAAAAAATTGTGGAATCACTTTTCCCGCAAAAAATTTTTTTGGCGGGAAAAATTTTTACGGAAAAATTTTACAAGGTATTTTAAAGGTTTTACAAGTTTTTACAAAATCAAATTTGTAATTTTAATATGTGCACATTCTCATGTTTTCATTATATATTTATTATATCTTTTATTAAAAGAAGGGTAATTTAGTCATTTTGTACATAAAAAGGGGTATTTTTAAAAATGGACAGCCAAAATGGGCATTTTTGAAAATGGGCATTTTTGTGAGTCTCCCAAAAAACTATACAATTTAGAACCAAAATATTTGATATATATATCTATATTATTAATTTGGAATCACTAGATATTAAACAACCTTATGAATGGTAAAATATTACATAAGATGCCATTGATTTTTAGTGTTTTCAAATAAATTCATTAAGGGTACAATAGTAATCACAAAATTAATATATTTAAATAAAAAAGTAAAATTCTTTTAAATAATTATTAATTTCCAAAAAAATAAACTAACTTTCTCTCTCTTATTAATTATGGACGAAAATATGAAATTAATTTTTCAAAAATTGTTTACCAATGATAATTGAAAAACTAAGATTTGATATCCAACTAAGATTTTATCTAAACGAACAATATTAAATTATTCTATATCAAAAATAAAAATAAAAATAATATCATTTTAATTCAAAATTAAAAACACTATCTTTTAAAAAATTTATCAATGGAGGATTTTAAGATTGAATTTGAAATTTCGTAAGAAAATTAAATACAAATATTTTAAGATTCAGTTTTGTGATAATATTTTCACAAATTTTGAAATATAAAACAAAATTTTATTTCACAATTTCTAAAAACGATATTAGATATTAACAAATATTTATATTTACTATGAAATAAACTCAAATAATAATAAATTTAAAGTAATTATAATTATGGCTTTCGTTTAGAACAAGTTTCAGAAATATCTAAACAATTGATTATACATATTAATTTCGAAATATTTTGCGTTTTATTTTTTCTTTTTCAACCGGATATTCCTTAAATAAATCCCTAATATATTGCACACAGTTTTGGAAATAATGTAAACTAATTATATATTTTTCATTCAAAAAAAGTTATGCAGCAATAGCATATCCCTTTTTGAGATGTATCTCAAATTTTTATTTTTAGTCCAAAATCAAATCAATTATGATTAAACAATGAAAAGAAGAATATGCAAAATTTAGCTAGGGAAAGAAAAACTAATAAATTTGTTAAAATATATTTGTAACTTTAACAGCATACATATTAATCAGCAAAACTCACAATATGTATTGTATGGTATTTAAAGGTAAGCAAACAAGAATTTGGAATATGATTTTAATGGAATAAAATGAGAATAGGAATTACGAGACGAGATGGGAGGGCAACATAAATTAAAAATCAAATTAAATACCCCACTGGTATGAGTTCGGGTTATGAGCACTATATAAAATAAATTTGTTTACACACAACCTTAGCTTGTACGTACATTTTCAGTTACACATATTCTATTTATGACGGATACGGGACCGTCATATTTTTATTTCACGTATATGAGACGGGTTATGGGACAAAGAATTTATGACAAATACATGACAAGATAGGTTGACAAAAAAAAAATACAGGACAAGATAGGTTTTCTGTTCCAAAATAGTTACACCTAGCTAATATACATGAAATCCAAACTAAAACTGAATCTATATCCTATTTAACGCATGTAATCAAAATTTTAGAAATATTTTGATTAGTTTAGAAAATAAAAACGTAACATCATTTAACTTTTGCAACTAAATTATAACTTAATTTTATCTTAAATATAATTTCGCACGTACGTGTAGGTCCGGATCTTAAAATATAACTACGTACTAACGCAACTGAATTTCGTTCATTACTCTAACTTTATAATATTTATACTATTATGAAGTTCACTAACACAACAAAAAAATTTATATTCTTAAAATCTATATAACAATTTCTATAAAAATATTTCTGCACGTACGTGTAGAACCAGACCTAATAAACTAAAATATATATCATAGAAACAACAAAATAATCTATATTAAATTAAAATTTGTTAGAAATTATTTTAAAATATAAAATCCCGCACGAATGTGCGGGTCAGGATCTAGTTTTATTGTAAACAGACTACAATTGATTAATAATTGCTCTTGGTGTAGGTCTTAAAATAACAACTTCCGAGAGTCTACGCTTTGTGGTTCATTGTAAAATAAGCACCAATTGCAAAAAAATTATAACTAATTAGTTCATTGTAAATGACTACAATTGACGATTTGGTCTTAAAATGATAATATAGCACCAACGAATAGGAAATGTCTATGCTTTGTGTTTTATTGTAGAAGAGTAGTATTATTTAGCACAAAACAATTTAATAGCTATTTCTTAAAAAAAATATTAAACGAAGACATAAAATGTAGCATATACTCCATCCGTTTCGTTTTAGTTGTCGTTTAAGGTTTTTTCACACAAATTAAGAAAAACATTTAATTTTCTGTTTTACCCTCTATTAATATATTTTATAAAAAAATTCATTGGCTAAAACATTAAAACAGTAGGGATAAAACTGGAATTTTCACCAAACATTTGCATTGAAAACCTAAAATGACAACTATTGTAAAACAAAATTTAAATCCTAAAACGACAACTAAACTGAAACGGAGGGAATATGTGTTAGTATTTATGTCACCATCTGAATTCAATGTCGCCATATCTACAAGCAAAAGAAAGTAAACTAGTCTACAACAGTTGTAGTACAACTAACTAACTTTTGAAATAGATCTTGACGTAGACTGGTCTTAAAATACTAATTTAGCACGAGAGAATTAGAAAGGGCTATATGTGCCTTTGTGTTTCAAAGCGGATATAGATGGACCTTTAATTCCATTGGACCAAATAGAAGAAAACAAAAAGGTATCAATGGAGGGCCCTTTGTTGACCAAGAGTGGGCACAACGTCGATGACGTTACAATCCATGGCGATTCTTCCTCGAATGATGAGCACATCGTCGACATAACAATCAATGGCAATTCTGATGAGCAAACACCACGTGAGAGTGTTCAATGGAGTGTTCAATCCACAAATCGATGTGTTTGGATTTTGGTCGAGTTTGTTATGACTTTGTTCCAGATTGTTGCAGCCATATTTTTTTGTACTCTGACAAAAGATGAACAGAATCCAGAACTAGAAGAATATTGGTTTATATGGATCATCGGTTATACTTGTGCCTCTATTGCCACTCTTCCTCTTCTATGTTGGCGTTTATGGCATTGCTCAGAGACGAGGTATAAACTGTGTGATCTCTTTCTTTTTTTAGGCATTAGAAGCTGATTTCAAATAATGGTTTATATTGATTTGCAGAACCAACGAGAGGATGGACTTTTTGGAAAAGATGCTTGCGTATTTCTTTGTGGGTTGGATTGTGATGTTTTTGTGGTATTTTCTTACCGAGTTATCATCATGTCTAGATGATACTACTCAAAACTTTTGGTGCGCATCATATCCTATCCAACTAATTAAATTTATGTCCCAAAAACAAAATTCACCTCACTAAAACTATTCACCATTGTCCTTTCTCAGGTTATGGATGGCTCTACTTGCTTTCAGTTGCATTCGATATGTGCTCCCTAACCTCGAATTTTCAGTAAAGTCCTTCGTGTGGCCGGTGAAATTCTGTTTTAATCAAATTTGGGAATTCTTTGAAAAAATGATTACGGGGATCGGTATACTCTGCTGGTGTATCGAGGTGGACGACTAATAAAAATAATGGATCATGTCGATTTCTTCAACAATTGTTGTAATACTCTATGATCCTGTTTATTTGGTAGTGGTTGCGATCAACCACATATTTTGTTCTTCCTTTAGTAATCGCTATGTTGTTCAGTTATTTAGATATCATATCATTTTTGTTGTTCATTTGTCTTTTAGTGTGATTGGTTGATGCAACTCGTCGTTATCTCATTCATTTTGTCATGATGCGATTGGTCACTGTGCTGTTCATTTTGCTATATATAATCATTTCACTTACGAAATTTCAAATACAAGTAATGGACCTAATGGTACAACATCAAAGACTCACACGTGTTAGAATTAAGGCGAAACTAAAAGACATGATCCTTCTTCTTGTGTTATCTATCTTTATCAAAAAATTAAAATGTTAAATAAAATAAAATTACACAGAATGGGCATGTTTACAGCTCCACCAAACAATTTTACACTCGACCGTGCCGAAAACCTCTGCATGATATATTTAACAAACCTCAGATTTGATAATTTGCTGCGTTCTCCTTTTTTTGTTTGGAGTCTTCTTAATTCTAATTGGCTACCGTCTCTGTCATAAATGACATATAAGTTTAAAATTACTTCAATTTAAAAGACTGTTGACTTTTATAATTGGTCTTAAAATAAGAATTAGCACAACAGGTCTACGCTTTGTGTTTCAATATAAAAAGACAGTAAGTTAGCACGAATTCAGCATCAGTATCGCATAATCCACCCGAATTCAACTTCGCATAAAACATAATTAAATATAGGATAATATTAGGAGATAGCCAAATTATACACATAAATTAAGAAACTAGCAGAGAGAAAATTTTTTGTCGGAAAACAGCGATGGACCCACGTTGTCAGAGGATGTGAAATAACAAAATCATCCTCCGTTTGTTTTGAGATCAACAATAGGCGAGATTGATTCGTGAGATTTTTCAAAATAGCACGTAATATCTAAATTTCACATGTTATATTTAACTAAAATACATGTTATTTCAAAAAACGTAGTGAATTTTTAAGAAAAAACATTGTTACGTAGTGTTTTTTTTTTAAAAAGACATTGTTATGGAAAAATTAAACTTGAATAGAATCTTTTTTAAAATAAATAACATGCGATCTTAATAAAAACCGTGAATTACTATAAAATAAGAATCTTTTTTAAAAGAAATCACATGTGATCAAAATAAAAAAACGTGTATTACTACAAAATAACATGATAGAGAGAGATATTAAACTGAATAGAGTGTTTTTTTCAAGAAATACCATGTGCTCTTTATAAATAATGTGTAATACGATAAAATAATATGATAAAAAAGATATATTATTCTATAACATGTAATTCGAGAAAAAAACATGTTATAAAGGGCATGTACGTAATTACATGTGCTTCCCGACATGATACCGACAAGTTACTGTAACGTATGGCTAGTTTCTTAATTATACTAAAAATTTGGCTATTTTGTGCATAATCCCTTAAATATAGTTGAGAAATTGTATTAAAACAAACTAAAAAAGAATTTGTTCATAAAAAAACTAAAAAAGAAAAAGAGGAAATAGACTAGCCTACCATTGACTTTTAAAATAGATCTTGACGTAGACTGGTCTTACAATAATAATTTAGCACAAAAGATTTAGAGAGGGGCTATATGTGCTTTGTATTTTAACGCGAACTTAGATAAACTTTTAGTTCGATTGGACTAATAAGTAGAAGAAAGCTAAAAGTGATCAATGGAAGTCCCTTTGCTGACCGAGAATGATCACATCGTCGACAACGTTACAACCCATGGTGATTCTTCCTCAAATGATGAGCGCATCCTCGACATACTTACAATGATCAATGGCAGTTCTTCATCAGCTGCTAAGCAAATACCATATGAGTGGAGTGAATATTCTATAGATGCATTCTCTTGGAATTTTGTCGAGTTTGTTGCGACTTTGGTCAAGATTGTCGCAGCCATAGTTGTTTTGACTCTGACAAAAGATGAACAACTTCCACAAAAAATATTTGTTATGTTGGTCATCAGTTATACTTGTGGCTGTATTGCCACTCTCCCTATTCTCGGTTGGCGTTTCTTGCAGTACGACCCAAGTGTTAGGTCACACCGAAGGTATAAATTGTATTTCTTTCTCTTTATTTTATAGGATTCATCAGAAACCGAAATCGATCGATAATGCTTTGGTTGATTTGCAGAATAAACGAGGTGATGGACAATTTGAAAATGATGCTTGGATATTTCTTCGTGGGTTGGATTACAGTGGTTTTATGGCATCTTCTTAATAACTCGTCATCTCTAGATTATACCACGTCACTCTTCTGGTGCGCATCAAACAAAATGCACAATTATGTCCCAAAAAAGAGAATTTATCTCTATAATCTAGTAGTATATATTTACCATTGTCCTTTTGCAGGTTATGCTTGGCTTTCTTTGCTATCAGTTGCATTCTACAAGTGTTTCGTCATTTCTACTGCTCGGTGATGTGTTTTTTGCTTCCTATGCTGTCGCGTTTTACCAAAGTTTTGGACTTCTTGGAAGACATTGATGAGAAGCTAAATTATATTGTCTTGGCACTCTTTGTTTGCATTTCAATCTTTTTGTGCATCCGCAAAAGTTGATACAAATAATGGATCATGTCGTTTTTCTTCTTTCTTTTGCTTAACAATGTTGTAATACTCTATCTATTTATTAAATAAATCCAAGTGCATGTCATGACTGAATTCCCTCTTCCTGTAATCGCTGGCAAAACTGAAAGACACGATTTTTTGCAATTTTATTTTGACTATTTTAATGGTTTGTGCAATGTTCATGCATCTGTTAGGAGAAATATGGAGAGGAATAACAAGAGAACTTGACGTATTTCATCTACAGTGAATAGAAATGTGGCTGAAAATTAACTCACATGCTCTCTTTGTCAATCACAAGTCAAGGGATGATGATGACTAGAGGTTGAGATGTTGATAGCTTTTTCTTTTGCTAAAGATTTGTTGTTATTGTTCTATACTCAGATTAAATTCTACCACATAGTCCTCTCAACTTGAAATAGCTGTACTATAGAACAAATTACTAACAATTGTAGTTCAAAAGACACAATCCTTACTTCTTTTGTGTTATCTATCTTAAACAAAACAAAAACAAAATGATTCAATATAATGGGCATGTTACGACTTACAACCCACCAAAAAAATGTAAGATAAACTAACATTTTAATCTCATTGGCTTTGATTTGCATTTTCAAGAACCATCTTCTTCTGTGTCTTATTAGCTAACTGTCCTCTTCGTAAATTGCTGCTGTCATAAATTGTGTAAGCTAAATTTAATCATTGTTGACTTAGAATTGGTCAGTGTATATTTGGTCTTAAGATACTAATTTAGCACCAAATTAAGATTCGGGAAGGTCTATGTGTTGTGTTTCATTGTAAAAGACTAAAATTTAATATCAAACGCATCCAACAATAGTTACACTGTGAAGGACTATAATTTACTTATGATTTGGTTTTAATGGTGGAAGAAGACTAGTTTATAATTGACTTTTAGAATAGATCTTGACGTAGATTGGTCTTAAAATAATACTTTAGCACCAAATAATTGGGGAGGGCTATATGTGCGATCTGTATTTTAATGCGATAGGAAAAAAATAGAAGAAATCAGAAGTGATCAATGGAGAGCCCTTTGTACGTTTAAAGATTAAAGATTTGTAGTATAACAATATTGCCAAAATATCGTATAACAAGAGGTTTAGTTAATTGCTTTGTACTATGGAAACGGCTAGTTAATCAGTCTTTTTGTCATAAGTTAAGTCTCAGTGAATGAATTAGTGTTTGTATGAACTTGTGTTTGTTTAATTTTGGCAAAACAGAATCAGTTGATTGGTTTGGTCTGTTGAATGAGTTTCATGTTTGTTTTTCAGGTTTGGTCTTTCTGTTATTGTCAAAAGAAGAAATATGATGCAAAGTAAGCATCGGATAACTTGTGTTTGTTTAATTTTGGCAAGCATCATAACCAAAGCTAAAATGAATGAATGCTAGTACATCTTTTACTTCTTTCTATAAATGGATAAATACTTGTATATATGGTTTCTTGTAGACTTGTAGTGATTGACATCTAAATACAAAATTTGAATTTTTTTTTTCCTTAAAAACAATATATAGGTTCTTAACCATTGGAGGACTATTTTATTTAGATACTCTACATTTATTCTTAGCTTAGAAATATGAAATTTTTTTATCTAAATAATTGTTAAGAACCAATTGATTCTTAACCATTGGAGTTGCTAGCTCTAAGACCACCATTATTGGTGCATGGTGTCTTAACTATTTTTTAGCTAAATCTTAGCTAAAAAAATAAAGAAAAATCTTGTTAAAGACTAAGATCCAAAATTAAAGTGGCTTAGCTAAGATCCAAATTTAACATTAAGATCCATTTTTAAGAACCATTTTTAAATTTATTATTTTAATACTCTTAAGAACCATTTTTAAGCAACATTTGTTAATCATGCTCTAAGGTAGGGAATTGTGCTAAACTTCTTCTGCTATTAGTGTCTTCTCATAATACATAATACAATTGACATTTAGACTGGTCTTAAAATAATAATTTAGCACGAAAGCAATTAAGGCTACATGTGCTTTGTAGTTTAACGCGGAATCATACGAATTATAATTGACTTAAAATTGGTATTGGTGTCGATTTGGTCTTAAAATAAATTATTTAGAACCAACGATGAAGTGGAAATCTCTTTTTTTTTTTTTTTTGGGTCAAAGACGAAATGGAAATTTGGAATGCTTTGTGTTTTATCGTAAAAGAGTGTACAATTCAACATCCAACAATTTAATTAATGTTAATATATTTTTTTTTTTTTGAATAACCGCGGGTCTTTCAAAAACTTCCTAGGCCCAAGGACTAAGGCCCAAAGATTCCCCTATGTAAACCTGCCAGTGGCCGTGCCTCGAACCCTGGTGGCGGAAGTCACAGCTGTGACCCCTTTACCACTAGGCCACAAGGCCCGGTTAATTAATGTTAATATTACAATTGACTTTTAGAATGGATCATGATATAGATTGGTCTTAAAATAATAATTTAGCACCAAAGATCAATGGATGGCCCTCGGTTGACTAAGGGTGAGCAATCTATGATCTATTCTAAAAGCATTGAGAAAAACAGAAAAAAAAAAAGCAGAAGTGATCAATGGATGGCCCTCTGTTGACTAAGGGTGAGCACAACGTCGACGACGTTACAACCCATGGCGATTCTTCCTCAAATGAAGAGCACATCGTCGATGTTACAACGAACGACGATTCTTCATCTGCTGATGCGCAAACACCTCATGAGGATGTTCAATGGAGTGTTGTATTTACGTTTAGAAATGTTTTGATTTTGGTCGAGTTTGTTGTGGCTTTGGTCCAGATTGTTGCAGCCATTGTTGTTCTTACTCTGACAAAAGATGAACAACCTCCACAAAAAATGTTTCCTACACTGATTCTCAGTTATACCGGTTGCTGTATTGCCGCACTCCCTATTCTAGGTTTGCGTTTCTGGCAGTATTACCGAAATGTTAGCTCAGAGACAAGGTATAAACTATATCTTGTTTTTGTTTTTGCTTTCAAGGCATGAGAAACCAAAATGATCAATATAATGGTTTTATTGATTTGCAGAATCTACGAGGTGGTGGACAATTTGAAAAAGATTCTTGAATATTTCTTCGTGGGTTGGGTTGTGGTGCTTTTCTGGCATCTTATCAACAACTCAGCATCTCTAGATATTGCGACGCAACAGTTATGGTGAGCATCAAGACAAAACTTATAACCATGGCTGTCCCGAAAGCAGAACAAATATCTCTAATAATATTAATCCGCCATGCATTTTACTTTGCAGGTTATGTATGGCTTTCCTTGCTATCAGCTGCATTCTACATGTGTTTCGTAATCTCCCCTGTGCGGCGATTTGTTTTCTGTATCCTATGATACTACGTCTTACCCAGTCTATAGACTTCTTTGATGGCATTACTGAAAAAATAGAGGGCATTAACTGGACAATCGCTGTATACATTGGAATCTTTTCCTGCATTCTCTGGTGCATTACCAGTTGTTGCAGTAGATTATGTAGATAAAAAGAAGAAATGGATCATGTCGTTTTTCTTCTTTCTTTTGTTAAACAATGTTGTAATATCTATTTATCAAATAAAGCCAAGTGTCATGACTGAATCCTCTCCCTGAAATCGTTGGCCTGAAAGAACCGATGCTTATGTCGTCCCAATATATTACCTCTGCATGGAAGAGCTAAGTATCCATTTCTGCATATACGAATCATCAAATTAAAAGAGAGAGAGTAGGAAACCATGAATTCATGTATAGGTAGCAGCATTGCGTTTGAACCAAGTTATTGGTTCAGTCTTCAATTAAAGTGAAGACTGACATTATTCTATTGGTCCATCCCGGTTAAAGAGGTTGGCCGGCTTGACATTATTGGTCCATCGCGCACTAATTATATATTTATCATTTGAAGGATGAAAGTTCGAAACAGGTGGACGTGCCGGAGTGGTTATCGGGCATGACTAGAAATCATGTGGGCTTTGCCCGCGCAGGTTCGAATCCTGCCGTTCACGGTTTTTATTTTTAATTTTCACTTATCCCAGTTTTGTCTTTTTTTTTTTGTTTCCTCGTCAATGCCGCCCATATTTTACCCTAGATTTTTATTAATTTGATGATACCGAATCCCGCTTTTCCCAATCCATTTTCAATTTTCAAAACTCATCCCCTCTCTTTCTCTCTCTACCTCCTTCGATCTCTCTCGGTGTCAGTAAAATCCCATGGCCGGGGAATTTCCCGGTGATTTAGATGGCTGATATGAGCCGGAGTTCAAGTTTAGATGCGGAGGATCCTCTTCAAGCTTACTCAGGACTTTCCTTGTTTCCTCGCACACTAAAATCCTTGTCGAATCCTCTTCCTCCTCCTCTTCATCAATCAGAAGATCTACAGCAGACTCATACTCTCCTTGAATCTATGGTTAACTTTCCCCCTCTTAATCTGCTTAATACTTCGATTTGATGCATTGGCTAGGGTTTGCTTTGCTCAGTGAGTAATTGCGGAGACGATTCGAGTCCGTAATTTTGACGGTTACGAAATCAATTGTGTATGTGCCGCGCAAACCCAAGGAGGCACAAAACCTCTATGTTTGCTCAGTATATAAGCTCTAGTAAGATAGCCTGCTAATGATTTATCTAGAAAGTGATGTACATTTCCTTTCTCCCATTCTTTTGGGTTAAGGCTTTTCTTAGTTTTTGTTGTGAAGAATTGCACAACGAGATTTTAAAAACAGATTGCAGTTCTTACATTATTCTTTATCGGTTGTGTATATCAAGTTCAGTTCTTCCCTGACCTATCAAGCTCAGTAATTCATTGTCAAATTCTTGGCTTCTATCTTACAGCCTTTTGAAGTTCAAAATGAGCATCAGGAGCAGGCAAAAGCTATCTTTGAAGATGTGAATGTTGATGTCAAGCTGAACCCTATTCCAAATAAACGAGAACGAAGACTGGGGTTAGACCGTAATCGAAAAAGCTTTTCTCTTAACCTTACGTCAAGGTAAAGATCATAACCACTGATCTATTGATTTAGTATAACAAACTGTTTTATTTATTACTCTATCTGTTCCTTTACTAAGTTAGTTGAAGCCTATTCTTGTTGCAGTCAGCCACCTCCAGTTGCACCAAGCTTTGATGGTAGTAAATATCCGAGACCAGAAGATTTCTTTGCTGAGTATGATAAATTTGAACGTGAGTTATATCTTTTCTGATGTTCATAGCCTTACCACGTTTGTTATATATCTGTCATTCATTTATGTTTTCTTTTCGCTGGATTTGAAAACAGTTGCCAATCGAGAATGGCAGAAACAGACTGGCTCCAGTGTAATAGATACACAACAGAACCCGCCATCAAGGCGTCCTCGCAGACCAGGAATTCCAGGGTATGTACTATGAGCAACTCTGTTAGAGCATGTTTAAGAGTTGTTCCATTCGCATATTTTGCTTTCTGTTTCCCTTGATATTTAAAATTTTAAATTCCAGGAGGAAACGGCGTCCATTCGAGCATACTTTTACGGATAGTTATTTCACTGATGCTATCAACCTGGAAGCTTCAGAAAAGGAAAACCCCATTGCTTCTGAACAAAGTTTAGAGAGGACCACAGCTGCACATGTTACGACTGTGGACAGGGAAGTAGATGGTGAGTGAGCACTTGTTAGATCATTGTCGCTACCATTTTGTTAAATCATGCTACCATCTGATAGTCTAAGACACTTTGTTTTGCAGATTCAACTGTAGACACGGACAAGGACTTAAACAATATTTTGAAAGAGTTGCTTGCTTCCAGTCGAGATGAGCTCGAGGGAGATGCTGCCGTCAAGCGTTTGGAGGATGTCTTGCAAATCAAATCCCTTAATGTGGAAAAGTTCTCTATCCCTGAGTTTCAAGATGTTAGAAAAATGAATATGAAGGCATCTGGAAGTAACCCATCAAACCGAAAGAGTCTGTCAGATATACAGAATATACTGAAAGGAATTCACAGAGTTGCGGGTCGAAAAAATAGCCACTCGCCATCCCCTCAGACTAGAAAACATTTTTCATCACCAAATCCACCAGTGGATCAGTTTTCATTTCCTGACATCCATAATTTGCTTCCAGGAGATCAACAGCCTAGTGAGGTTGATGTTCAACCTCTAGCAAAAGATATAGCTAATACATCCCCGTCTAATGTGGGTACTGTAGACGTTGCTAGCCCTTTCAACAACTCAGTGGAGAAGAGGTCCGGTGAAGATGATTCTCATATTCATTCTGGCATCCATAGATCTCATTTACGTCCAGATGGGAATGCAGATATTTGTGTGATGGATAGCATCTCAAACCGAAATTCAGCCATGCTAGAGGTGAATGTAGATATGCGAACAACAGGAAAAGAGGTAGATGTGCCCATAAGTGAAAGTGGAGCAAACAGAAACACTGGCCAAAGAGAAAATGATACTGATATCAATGAAGAAACTGATCATTTAGAAATGCTGGTTAGTTTCTCCTTCACTGTACGGGACTTTTTACTAACATATCTGCACCTCTTGTTGGTTACATCTCTGGTGAATTTGTTTTTCATATAGGCGGAATATGCATCTAAAGAGGCTACAAGACCTTTTACTGTAGAAGAGGATAGCATCCCGTATCAGCAAGGTATTATAACCTTTTATACATGCATGTTACAGTGAAATCTCAAAAAGTATAAAAGCAAATTAGCATATGTCCTAACATAACTTGTACATACTTGTCCATTAGATGCTTACTACCATTAACATTTTCAGTCACCTTAAAATTGTGGCTCAAAAATTTTCCAAATGCTGTTATGTTGCCTACAGGTACGCCCTCAAACTCTCCAAACAGAGCTCCAGAACAATACAACACAATGGATGGACCCTCTGAACATGCAGAGCACAATCAGGGACTACATGAAGAGGAAAATGTCAACACGGACTCCGCTTCTGGACTTCAAGAAAATGCTCTGGTTAGTTCCTCATCATTGTCTGTTCACCTCTGTAGAGTGTTGATAATTAAGTCAAGGCCAATTCGTCTTCATGTTGTCTCAATTGCTAGACTCGGTTCATCTGTTCACTATCTTTATCCTTCGCAAATCTCTAAAGGTACTTTTAATTGCAGTAGTGTGCTGGATCCGTATGTTTTAATCCATGATAAAAATAACACACTGAACAATATCGTTGGTTGTGTATTTGTTAAGGTGTTCTGTGTTTTTGTGAGGGTGTTAGTTCCGTTTAGGCTATGCTAAGTATGAGCTTGCTTAACAAAATGAATTTGAGAGTTTTTGATTAACTTATTTTCAGCAGGAGGCTCACAACTCTTCACACAAACAAACAAATAAACGAAGAAAGAGAGGATCTTCTGATAGCAATGTGAAAAAGCGAAGTAAGACTGTGCATGGTGAGACTGGAGGGGACCCGCAAATGAAAACATTACCACATGAGAGTGGAGCGAAGAAGCAAACCAAAAGAAAATCCAACGAGAGAGAAGAGAAGAAGCCAAAGAACACGCGTAAAACTCTTACGCGTGAGGGTAAACTATTCTCTCGCAGGAAAAGCCTTGCAGGTATATAAACTTACCAACAAAAACTAAAGTCCATTCTCGTGCTTCGGAGCTCTTTCGATTGAAAAACTAAACCTAACAAGTGTTGGTTTCTGCCTTTCTCGAAGCTGCTGGTACTAAAATGGAAGGTGGTGTCAGACGAAGTACAAGGATTAAGTCAAGACCACTCGAATACTGGAAAGGTGAAAGATTCTTGTACGGACGCATCCATGAGAGTAAGTCACATATCCGTTGTACCACATGGATTTCAATACGGATGTTTTTCAATTCATAATTTATCTACTGTTTCCATAGGTTTGACTACTGTTATCGGCATAAAGTATGCATCCCCTGGAGAAGGTAAAAGTGACTTGCGTGCATGTAAGGTGAAATCATTTGTCTCTGATGAGTACAAAGAGCTGGTTGATTTTGCCGCTTCGCATTGAAGAATGATAATCCTAGGAAGGAAGTGATCAAACATCCTCTTGTGATCATAATTCTATTGATAGTATCTTGTGTCCACGACCTTCTCTTGGGTCCAAACTCGTCACTGTATTTCTTTAAAACCGCAACACTTTAAGACTCTGTAAATGTAACGGAAGTTTTCAACTTTCAATTAGTCTCTCTTCATTGATACTTTGTCAACTTGCATTTGTCACTTTACTCTTTGCGTCTTTGATATTTCTTGAAGGCACTTGTTTACCCACCTTTCGCTCTTAAATGCTGCCTTAACTATTACTATAAAATTTTAATTAAAGTAAAATATAATTTATTTAGGGTTGTTACTTTGATTTATATAGAGGATTAACCCTACCAAAATCAAATCACGGGTCATTATCGATTTTATTTTATATAATGTTCATAACTCTCTAATCTTCAACAAAACTCAAGTTGAACAGAAAAAAAGCAGTCATACAATTTTCTTGATATTAGTTTAAAAACATATAATAATAAAGGAAAATGCATACTTCATAGGAAACTATTGAAAAAACAATAGTTTTTTTTTTGTTTTTTATCAAACTGATAAGTGATAACAATAGTTTTTAAGTACTTTTTCTTCTTTTTTATAATAGAAACAAAACAGGAACGGCCTAGTGGTAAAGGGGTCACAGCTGTGACTTCCGCCACCAGGGTTCGAGGCACGGCTACTGGCAGATTTACATAGGAGAATTGCCAGCCTCGTGAGATTAGTCCTTGGGCCTAGGAAACCTTTGGGAGACCCGCGGTTATTCAAAAAAAAAAAAAAAAAAAAAAGAAACAAAACAGGAACGAAATGTCCACTCTAAATTCAGCTGTTTAGACTTTTTTACTTGAACTCAATATTCGCCCCCCTCCCTCCTTGATCCACTTTTCTTGGATCGTGTCGTGAAAATGAAAATTGAATGGCAATCTCGCTACTGATACATATATGGTCCTAATCTTTTAACAGAAGTAGCAACTTGATTTTGGTACAAACAATTTACTTTTTAGGTAAAATGCCAATATTGGCAAGATCCATAAATTTGGAAGAGCAAAATTAAATCTGACGATATTATTACTTCTTTTGATACGCTTGAATTTTCTTTGCGAATAAAAGTATTTGAATTTCGACTTGAGGCTCGACCTTTCTCGATTTTTGACACCCGCTTTTTACGCTTGACTTCAGGACAAGACTTACATAAACAAAAGAGACATAAAAACAAACAAACACTCAAGCCTTTATTATCTGCTTTTAAAAATAAAATTACTAATTTATCTCCACTGTAGTTTTACTGGTAAACAAAAAAGACAAATAATACAGGTCAGCCAACTAGCAAACTGGATAACGATGACATGAATTATCGCTACAAAAATATAAAGTATACGATCATACAAGTTGATGAAAAAGTCACCGGCTCTTGACAACATTTGATTGGACGTCGACCGTACAAAACTAAAATAGAGTCCTCCTTTTGTTACGTAGTAGTAAATATATAAATGTTTATGTCTTAAGCTGAGCAAAACAAGTTAAAAATAAATCCGATTCTGGATTTGGCAAATGACCTATTATAAATCTAAATACGTAATTCAGTATCATTCGTAGTACCCAGTCAAATTAATTTACTAGTATCTAGCGTTCTTACATCATCAATAAAATTATTGTTCTGATTCATTTGGTGTTTCATAACATTTCGATTTTTTTTGTTTTACTTGTTTATTTTCTTACTTATGCATGATTCCGTTTTTATAATATCTCTGTTTATTGCGTTGACCTAAAGAACCAGCCGACGATGCTTGCCTTTGAGATGTTGACACCTCATCGTTTGTTATTTTCCAATTATTGTCAGCCAGACGCCGTGTCGTTTTTTCCAACGATTTGCAAGAACGTCGTGCCGTTTTTACCATTTGAGATGAAAAAATTAAAAAAAAGATTCAGCCTATTCAATTTAAGAATTTCAAAATTTGAACAAATTTTACAGCAAAAATGTTCAACTCATTCAACTACAATTTTGTAGATGAATGGATTGAATAATTTTCAACCCAATATTTTTTAACTTATAATATATTCAACCCATTCAATTTTAAACAACCATTTATAGTCTAAGTGCCTCATCTGACTACTCCAAAGAGTTGCATGCCTGCCTCTGCTGACAAATCAAAATACATGAAAAGGCATTAGTCTGTTGTGAATTGTGAATCTCAATGGTCTGGTTTTAGTGGTGAAAATGTTTTTCAGACCATATACCAAATTTTCAAGATTGGTCTAGAAATGGGAATTTGGAGAGTGGACAATCCGATTTGTTTTCCTAAATTCAATTATTTCATTCAATGCAAATAAAGATATTATTCAAATTACAACACAGTTGCGTAACGACACGATCTGGATTTGGGGATGTTGTGGACCCTAGAACGAGTCCAAGTTGCATGGGACATGCCGTTTCCCAAACTAATAGTATCATTTCATGTTTCCTTATCCCTTTCTTTTTTCTATCGTTTCATATTCGTCCCGTATATCATTTTCTTATCAAAATGCATCATCTACCAATTGTCAAGACTAATGATACATGTTTTCTGAAATCGCCTAGGAAGTGACGTGATACACTGCTCTTTAGAGTTTGATTAGTTCTCCCGCTAGCACCAGGGGCGGAAGGAGAGAAGATTCATAGGGGTCAATTGACCCCGGTGAAATTTTTAAAAATAGTTGAACTTTTATATAAAAAAAATTATTGACCCCAATCCAATAAAAATATTGACCCCTATAAAAAAAATTTATGTTACAAACCCAATAATTACAAGAAAACATCTTTCACATTTTTTAGTATATCGACTTATAAAGCTACTTTTTATGCATCTTTTAAAAAGAAAAAAAAATTTGACCCCGATGAATAGATTTTCTGGCTCCGCCATTGGCTAGCACCCGCCTAGCGGCTGGTAGCGGTCGGTTGCGGTTGTTAACGGTTGGTACCAATCACAGAAATCGTTCCACACCGTTTCGAACCGTTCGAAATCGCTGGATTTCAAAAGCTCATTTCCGCAAGCGTTTGCGGTTGCGGGTGGTTGCGGTTGGTTTAAAAAAAGAAATAAACTAAAAAAAGAAAATAAATAAATTCAAATATATATTAACAAGTCATATATATTCACGTTAATTCTAAAAAATAATAATTATCTAACATTAATTTTATAATATTAATAATTATTTTTGTTTTCAATATAAAATTTATTTGAATAATTATTTATGGTTTTTAATCATTCATCATGTTTAAAAAATTTATACTTTTTCATAATTATAGTTTTTGGTGTTTTATACTTTTTTATAATCATATATTATAATCGTACCCGCTGATCAACAAGTCGTAAATCTCCCGCAAATGCACCCGTTTACAACCGCTTAACCAGTAACCAGTCGGTCAAAACGCTAAATACGCTTGAAACTGTAACCGCCCGCTTCTGCAAACTCCCACAACAACTGCAACCGCTGCGTTTAAACCAGTCAAGCTTTTAATTAGAGTTTTTTTTTTTTTTTTAATTAGAGTTATTCATGTCGATTGTAATGTAAAGACATACCGTACGTTTCACTCGCTGGTCTCATCTAGTATATTGCTTCTTTTACATTATTTAACTGTCATAGTTTGATTGGCAACCAGAAAATTATCTTCGTGTATATATGAAAACTGTCATGCAAATCTCCCTATATTTAAGTTAACTTTACAGAAACTAATATGATTTTTTTTGGAGGGGACAAACTTAAGATTGGATACGTCATTCTTGTTAATATATAGATCTATATGATCTTAATATTTTGCTATAGTTAATTATATTAAACTAACCTTTAATAAAAATCGTTGTTCTTCTGGATGATTTAGCTTGTCTCTAATATCATCGAACCCTTTAATACTATTATTTAATGCCGACAAACGATAGAGAAAGGTTACACAAAACTAAAAATATGCGTAAAAGTATAATCAAAGGAAAATAAGAGGATGTAAGGAGCACCAAATGTTGAACTTTTATTTTTAGGCTGTTTCTGTTCTTAATTCCCTTTTCACGTTTTTAATTAAGCTTAAGAAATATTGAATTGTTAATGAGTATTGTACTATTATTTAATATTGGTCGTCGTTGTTTCGATAGGTCGGTAACAGGGAAAATAAAAAAATAAATGCAACTGAAAAATCACATTTAATAAATCATATTATTGATTAAGAAAGATGTTTAGAATGTTTAATAATCTTGAAAAATGATTCATGGCTTACATGCTTATAAAATCAACACAATGATATTGTAAATTAAACGAAATTATATCTAAAACACGTTTGAATTATGCGTACTTAGAACAATTGGTAAGCTTATTAGAAAAAAATGTAGAATTTGTCATTTATATGAATAGTATCTACTATAATATTTTAAATGTGTATTTTAAAGCAACGAAGTCAGTGAATGTGACAAGGCCTCTTTTAAAGTCGCCATTACGTTTTTCGAGACTTAGGGGTCGAGACTTAGGGATGTGCACAAAGCGAATATTTGTTATTTTAAAGATACTTATTACTTAGTTTGCCTTATACTAGTAATAAAAATTAATATTTGTGTTTAACTTGTTGAAAACGAATACTTGTAATTTCGAGTACTTGCTAAAAAATAAGCAATTTGCGAATTACTTCTTTTGCCTTATTACTTGCTACTTGCGAGTTATTTGCAAGTAATTTGTGTGGATGTTGGAATCCGCAATACAAATTTTATGATGTGTATCGGGTCGTCTAGCCTTGCTAATTCGAACAACAATCGTGAAAAGAAAACAAAAGAGTAAAGTCTATGTATCTGTTTATTGCTCAAGAAATCCCCCCTCTTACAATGGTTTTCGTTTTCTATTTATAATTACGCGATTCGAAACCAAAGTCGTTCATCAAGCCGCAGATCTCGCCCTCATCAATATTTCCGTTTCAAATCTTCCGAATCTCGCAAATTCCGTATGACCCGCCTTTCATTTAATTCACGAAATCCCGACGTTTCACTCGAGCTGGGCCGAACTTTACTGGGCCGTTCTTTTCGTCTTTTGAACCGGGCTAACGGCCCACTTCGTTTCATTGTTCTACCACTTTTCTGGGCCGGATCCGACTTGCGAGATCCAATACCAACAGTTTGCAAGTAACACTTTCAAAATTTTTACATATTTAAATTTTACTTTACTTTTGATGTAACTTTTAAATATGTTTTTAAAACTAATATAATATGAAATATATGTATATAAACGAGTAACGGGTCAAACAAGTTGAGTATTATTTTTTTTTTACTATTTGTTGCTTAGTTTGTACTTACAAATATCTAAATTATACTATTTAGTACTTATCTTGATAATAACGGGTACTTGTTTTTTCAAAGTGAGTACGAGGTAAGTAACGGGTACGGGACAAGTAACAAGTACTTGTGCCCAGCCATAAGGAGACAATTGTATTTTCTATTGGAGCCAACAATATCATTTTCTTTAGTGATCTGGACAAATTTAGAACCAAGTTCATTATTAAGACCTTCTAAAAGTGACCAAAAAGGACTTGGATGATAAAGAACTAGAGATGGTGGGATTCGTTTTCTAACCGCAATCTACATAGCAAAGTTTCAAACCATCGAAACATTGTCTCGAGACGATTAGGTTTAACCAGTGTTTTTAACTCCCAACTATTTGAATAACTCAACTATTAAATTCGTTAATCATCCGTGTTTGTTCATTTCATATGATAATATGACTATAGCCTAGAGGACAATTTAGAGTATAATAATCTTTTGGGTAGCTATTGGTTAGCATGTCTTCGTGAACAATACGGCACATGGGATCACATGGACCTTCGAATATGTTAACAATACGACACGCTTGACTTTTTTTTTATATTATTAAAATGTTGGAATATAGCGTAGAATTAGATCCCTACATACATTATTTATTTCTTTTTAATTTTTATATCCACTACTCGGGCTAGTTTAATACTATTTTATATAATTTGTCTCCATTAAGATTATACACAGTGGTATATATTTTAGTGGTGTGTGAGTATTATTAAAAAGGAAAATAATAGAATAGTGTAACATATGGGTGTGAGATAACACTTGGGTGTGAGTATTATTTTAATGTTTTATGTTTCATCTATCTCCTTCTCTCTTTCTTCACTAACCAAATCTCTCTTTCTCTTAAAAAAATTATAATAAATATATTGTTAACACACACCCACCCATATGCACTAGTGTGGGTGCTCTTAAGCTACAACGTGATAGAACAGTTTCATCAACACGTTATTTGAAAGATTCACTACTTATTTATACATGTACACTTTAATAATTACGGCACACGGTAACGTTAATTCCACGTCGACCATCTTAATACTACTACTAGTCAGAGAGTTAACTCTTCCATTATTCTCAAAGTCACCCGTAAATATCACGGTGAGATGAATTAATTATTTATCTAACGTATAATCCGATAAACGTCATTTTTGTTTCAGTACACATTTAATTTAGTCTACGATATAACCGAAAAAAGAAAGACATGACAATTACAATTTTTAATAAGCAAAATAGATAGTCGAAAATAATTGAATTAACAAGACTTTGCTTAAGCTAACTTGATTGCCTACAAAACTGCTCTTAGATCTAAAATCCAATGACTATCACATCATTCAACATGTCCCAATTGGTACAACGTCTCAATCAAATAAACCCAAACCCGCACATTAATTCCATTAACCGAACGGTACCATCTCCCGACTTCTGTTAACTTCTCCTATCAAAGATACGTTTATAGAAAAAATTCATGTATACATCAACAACAAAAAGTCGTAAATGCAAAAGAATTTCAAACAACATTGCACTTTTCCTTTTTGATGAAAAATCGTAACCTTTACTTTTCTAATCTTCTTCTTAACCAATTATTTCTCGTTGGCATCATAAATAGGTTAATAAAATAATTACCTATCCTCGAATTTAATTAAATATCCACTTCCAGTTTTTTAGCTTCTAGAAAACTTATCTCTCTATAAAGGAGCCACACTCTTCTCTCTCACCTCATTCATATCTCTCTCAACCTGAACATTTTCATTTTAAGCATAACATTTTTTTTTCTAAATCAAGAACTTCAAATCTTGAAACTTTCCAAAACGATGGAGCTTATTCCTGATCTTCCTGAATCCGTAGCTCGCGAGTGTCTCCTACGCGCTTCCTACCAGCAATTTCCTCTTATGGCCTCTGTTTGCAAACTCTGGCAGCGAGAAATCAGACTCTCTGATTTTTTTCGACACCGGAAAGCTTCAGGACATAGTCAAGAGCTTGTTGTCTTGTCTCAAGCTCGGGTCGACCCGGTTAAAGAACTCGGATCGGGTAATAAAACCATCCCCACGCCCGTGTACCGAATCTCGGTTCTTGAACTTGGTACCGGTCTAAGAAGCGAGCTGCCTCCGGTTCCAGGTCAATCCAACGGGTTGCCTCTGTTCTGTAGATTAGCCTCTGTCGGGTCGGATCTTGTTGTATTGGGCGGGCTTGACCCGGTTACATGGCGTACCTCTGATTCGGTCTTCGTTTTCAGCTTCTTGACATCCACGTGGCGCGTCGGGAATAGCATGCCAGGTGGACCACGTTCCTTCTTCGCTTGCTCTTCGGATTCTCAACGGAACGTCTTCGTGGCGGGAGGACACGACGAAGACAAGAACGCGATGATGGCAGCTCTGATGTACGACGTGGCAGAAGACAAATGGGCTTTTTTGCCGGATATGGGCCGTGAGCGAGACGAATGCACAGCTATTTTCCACGCTGGCAAATTCCACGTCATCGGTGGTTACGCCACGGAGGAACAAGGGCAGTTTAGTAAAACCGCTGAATCGTTCGACGTCACCACGTGGCGGTGGAGTTCACAAGCCGACGAGTTTCTCTCCTCGGAGATGATTACATGGTCTCCGATTTGTGCTGCCGGTGAAAACGGAGATTTATATGCTTGTTGTCGCCATGATCTGATGGTGATGAGAGATGACACGTGGCATAAAGTTGGGAATCTACCTGCTGACGTGTGCAATGTGTCTTACGTGGCGGTAAGGAGGTCTGGGAAGCTGGTTGTGATCGGTTCGGCCCGGTATGGTGAACCAAGTGTAGGGTATAATTGGGATATGAGCAATTCTCGATGGGTGAAACTGGAAACACATGAAAAATATGAAGGCCACGTTCAAGCTGGTTGCTTCTTGGAGATATAAAAAACTTTAGAAAAGATTCCGAAACTTTTGTACGTCGTTCATGCGAAATGACGCTAAATTTGGTCGGTTGGTTTTTCCAAGTGTGACTGTATAAATATTCTATTGTCATACATAACTTTGTAAGTTTGATTGTAAACATATAATATTGTCGACTGATTTTATCGTTTTTATCTAATTTTTAAAGTTGTTGGGTGATGTTACTAAAGTTAGCGGTTGATTTTATACTTCCATTATTTAATGTAGTCCTTATAAGCAGTGGCGGAGCTAGAATTTAAATTTACCGGGGTCAAAATATAAAAAATATTTTAATAAAGTGTGGTTGTTTTTTTTCTTCAAATTATATTGCATATAGCTTATGTTTTTTTATTACATTTACAAAAATGAAATTCTGATATTTATAAAAACATTTGGTTTGTCTAAAACATAATAATAAAATTAAAAACAAAGAAACTTATATATAACAATTAGTGGTTATAGTCTATATCATTTTGTAATATTAAAAAAGTTATGGTTTAAGGGGTCAAAAGAGTAGTTTTCATATTGGGCACTGGGGTCAATTTATAGGAATTTAATCAAATATCTATGTATTTGTTTAAATATGCTATAATATTAGTTTGATTTTGAAAATTCACCGGGGTCAGTTGACCCCATGTTTCTATGCTACCTCCGCCACTGCTTATAAGCCCAACTAAGTACTTACTCTATTGAATTATTGATCCACGAAGCTTACACTTACACGGACAAGAGTGTCGATGCGTTATGTTGGTCCCATTTCGTGTTAGATCTGAAAATTTAACATTCGAGTCATTAACAAGACGAAGCCCTAAAAAATGACTGAATCATGTCAACTGTAGTTATGTGCCGATTGAAACGAAATTCCATGAGCATCAACTCAAACTCAAGTAGAAGTATCAACTAGAGATCAAAAATATTATCTCTGTTTCACAATAGACTATGTTAAAGGCTTTTGCGCACATGTTAAACAAATTATTTTTTGTATTTTCTTCTAAACTAAAATTTTCAATATCTAAACACAATTCAACAATAATAAAACAATATGCAGAATACAACTAGTCAAAAATAATTAATTTTTAAAAAAATTATTGAAAACATTATATAATATTAATGATGTCGAGATATGAAAACAAACCCAATATTCACGAATAATCAAGCCCAATATTTAGAAAATACTAAATGACCCAAAAAATCATTTTTTCTCATGACCACGACCCAACTAACTAAGTAACCAAAAGGGTCCTTTATGGCTTTAGTTCATCTCTCATATTTTTAGGGCTTCCGTCTTACTCGTAAAGTTATTCAGATTTGCTATTGAGGATCTTAATGATGCCAAATTAACGAAATCGAAATTTGTCAGAAAGTTGAAGAAAATTTATTTCTCCTACAGAGTAGAAGATCCTAACAAAGCTAAATATATATATATATATATATATATATATATATATATATATACTAGATATCCACCCGCGGTGTACCGCGGGCCTATATTTTTATTAAAAAGAAATATAAATTTTTATTGTAAGGCTTCTCTTTTACATATTTGCTATTATTTTTTTTATTTAAATGTATATATAGATATATACATATCTATATACTGTAGTATTAGTATATTTTAAGTTCATTTTTGAAATATAGAGATAGAGAAAATTATATAGTTCATTACGTACTGATATATAGGGTATTAAAACTTGGTTTGTACTATTTCTATTGTTTCACCAAAAAAACAAACTATTGTTTTCAAAATCTTATTATCGTGACCTTTATTTTTACATGTTCTAAAAGGGTTTCAAGTATGAAAGACTCCTAACGGATAACATGAGAAATAAAGGATAGATCACTTGAAAAACTTTGAAATCTGTTGATTGGAAACGTGTGTGTTGATGAATGAAACGACTGCTCTCGACATCTCTTATATAGGGAACAAAAAAATTAGAGTCTTCTAAATTATTGTTATTTTTTTGTAGTGAAATTAGATTTTGAGATACAAAAATCTTATCTGAGTAAACTAACAAATCCAAAATATTGTGATTGAATAATGATTATTTTGTTTTTAGAAAGATTGTGATCTTTAGAATATTGTTGGAATATGCCAAAATCTATAGCAAATAAATGCACTTTTTTCTCTTCTATTTACGTAGTTACAAAGATATATCCATATGAGATTGCAATCTTTATGTATATGTATTAGTTTCTTAATAAATGTTAAATAAATCGAATCTTCGTGTAAACAATTAATCCCTGTTTTATTATGTACATTAATTTCGGAAACAAATTAGATTCTTGAAACTAACGTTTAAATTTTCTTAATTAAAAAAATGAATTAATGATTTATATTGTATTAATTATTTATGATAAGGTATGTGGAATAATCATTAGAAATTTAGATTTGATTTTGATTTTATTGTTGTAGTAGTTTCTATTTGCTAGATATTTTCGATATTATGTTTAATAGTATTTAAAATTAAATATTTGATTTCCATATCTTTGAAACTCAAATCTAAAAATTAGGGATGTTTAGTTAGTTAATTTATTGTCGATTTGTTTCTAAAGAATTTCAAATATAAGATTGCAATCTTTCCAAATATATGGCTATTTATTAGGAGCATTAATAAGAAAGATTATTTAGGATTAAAATAGGTAACTTAAATATCGATAATAAAAGAATTAATTTCGTTTTAATAAATGTGTTAGTGTTATACTTATACCCGATTGCCATAAAATCATATCGTTTTAAAGTCGATTTGTTTAAAAATTTCCTAAAATTCCTTATCCAAGACCCGGGTAAAACCCGGATCCAAATGAATTAATGCCAAAAATACCATGTAAAAATGTATATGTAGATTACACATTTAGATATTGACCCGTGGGACAATTTTGACTTTTTAATTTTGTTCTTCATAAATTTATGATTTTCGTAGTATATAAAATTGATTGGTGGTGTATGGTTTTTGATAAATTTAGCTCTTATAGTTAAATGTAGTATTATTTATATTCATATGTATGACAAAATATTTCTTAAAGTAAATAAAAGGATTTGTAAAATTATTCACATACCAAAATTTCTGCCCATTTTCATGGATACGGGATCTTTGTTTAAACTGAAAATTATAGATTTTTTTTTTCTTTTGATTTTTTGAACTTTTTATTAAAGTAAAAAAAGTATTTGTAAAATAATTCACAAACCAAAAATTCAGCCCGTTTCTATGGAACAATAAAAAGATTACACCAATTCCAAATCATTTTTTTCAAAAGTGTTTAGTATAAATAAAGCAAGAGCCTTAAATTAACACATCAAATACCAAAAGCAGAGTATAAATAAATACTTACATGGAAGAGTAACTCTTGGTGCATGAAAGTCAAATATTAATTGAAAGAATACGGTTATTTGAAGAGCAAACAAACAAAAAAGCAAACATTGGCTTTCACATGTTCTCCTCAGGTACACATAATCCAGCCAAACATCTTCTTCTTGCAAATATAAAACATATAACGAAACAACAATATTTAATATACAGAGGAAATCTCTTCATCATATTTGAAAACAGTCACTAACCCTTACATGTATACCATCTCTTCCTCCACTGACTTCCCTGCGGATCAAAGACCAACCTTAGAACTGCTTTACCCTCTTGTCCTTATGCTCCGGAAATCATTGTGCGAATTATGATGCTATCAAACTGCTCGTCGTCCTTCCTTCTCAATTCCAATTATCTTCATGTGTGAGTTTGAATGCACAGATGGGACGAAGGTCGGGCTTGAGGCTGGTCGGTAATAAAGCGAAAATTTCCAATTCCTGAATCCAAACACAAAAAATGAAAATATAACATTATATACTAAAAACGGAAACTGAGATTTTAAAAGAGAATAAGCCTAGCTTACCATCATCCTCTAAAGAGAAAAATAACAAAGCGTTTCACATGCAAACCCAGATTAATAATATAATTAGACTATTTTCACAATCTAATACATTATTGGTAATTAATATCTGAATAATGGAAATATAAATGCAGGTGAAGAACACGCGCAGTGGCGGTGGGCACAAGGAATCTGAGGCCGAGAAAGAAGCATATACCCCTACCCAATATCAATACGCCATGCCCTGGGAGGAACAATTAAAAAAAAAACAATTAACATTCTACGAAAAAAATCAATAAAATAAAAAGAGAGAAAGCACCACGTGGATAGCTACCTGGCGATACAGAAGGCTTTGTGTGTTTGATGTTGCGATTTCGGTAGAAGAATAAAAAGGCTTTGTGTGTTTGATGGTGGGATGAGAAGTGAAGCTAAAGAGTTTATATAGGCGTGGAAGATTAGGTTACGAAAGTAGTGGTGGCCAAGGTAAATATTCATGCTTTAATCTTTTTAATCAAATCATTCTAATCGGATTTTTTTTAGGAATATGCTTTAATTCCGATTTTGTATAGTAGTAAATAATTTCCTTAATTCAGTCGGTATAAATATTTGTCAACGATTTCTAAGGACAATATTTAAAAAAAAAAATCAAATAAAAACAATGAATGCTAATGGTGAATGAGTTCAATCTTTGATTTCCATTTCATTGTTTTCTGATAGCATTAATGTCTCAAATTTGTTATCGTAATCTTAGGGAATATTGCCGTAAATCTCTGTATAGATATTTCATTGAAATATTTCAGCATTAAATGTTTTTTTTTAAATGTATTTATAGCAAGTGACTAATATTCCTATAATTTCGATAAAAATGTATTAAATTCAGTTTGTTGTTTAGAGAAATAATTAATGGAAGATCCGATCGAGATATTCTTAAGATATCGAATTGAATATCGTCGGCCTATAATAAAATAATCGTTTTTGATTTCAAAATATTAACTTAAATAGAAATGAAATGAGGATTGTTGAGATGTTTTAGAGATTGTGTCGTTGGGAGTAATTAATTGAGAGAAAAAATGTCCGAATAGAGATTATAGAAAAAAAGAACCAATTAATGTGGGAAGAAGTTAAGGAAATAGAGTTTAAATAGAATTTAAGAATTAATGATGTTTTTTATTACAACATTCCTTAAAACTCTTATCCTAGATCCGAATATGATTAAACCGGGTAAAACCCGGATCCAAATGAATTAATGCAAAAAAATCCTGTAAAAATGTATTTGTAGATATATTTTTTAAAAAAAACTAAAAATAATAAATGAGTTTTGTCGTTATGAAACCCTAAGAAAATATTATCCTAAAGAGTACGTAGATGATCTTGAAGAAAGCCTATCGAAATAAGATTAAAATAAATTAAAAATAATAAATTGAGTTTTGTCATGATGAAACCCTAAATGGAGAGTAGAAGATCATGATGGAGAATCGAGAAGTAAATGGGATGAAGAGTGGTTGCAAGCGTAGAATAGAGCTTCCAGATGAAATATTGGCAGAGATAGTGGCGAGATTACCTTTTAGAAGTGTAACGAGGTTCAAGGCCGTGTGCAAAGGATGGAGATCATTAATAGAATCAACGTACTTCCGTCGTCTATTTGTGTTTGCTCACCAAAAATCTTCCTCGTCGTGGTCACTCATGTGCGGGACATTTGGTTGGTCAGTCCAGGAAATGGCGGGGTTCTACGGGTGCAAGAGATATGGTCTTCCCCGTAGGCTAGGTTCATACATCCCGCCTCATGGCTTGGTGGATAAATATAAGATCATAGCCTGCGCGGACGGATTGGTTTTGCTTCGAACCGTAACGAAAGGAGAGGCGTTCATCGTGGGTAGCCCCGTGTTACGGCAATGGGTTCAGCTCCCACCTCACCCTTGGAAAGGGATCAGTTCATCAGTTGAGGTAACAGGTCTAGTCACCCGAGTAGAAGACAGTGTCGTTTTGGAGTATAAGGTGGTTTGTATGGATAATGAACTCGGTTTGGAAGTTGAGTCCCTTATCTTTGAGATATATTCGTCAGTGACGGGAAGGTGGACTCGCAAAGAAGTCCGTTGTCCTCGTCTCATCGTTTCTTTATCCTATCAAAGATGCTTGAGTTTGAACAAGATGCTTCACTGGCTTGATAACCATTATCGTTCTCGGAGTAATGTGGGAGCCATTGTAGCATATGACTTCTATGCTGCTGATGATCAACAGCAGTGTCGCGTTATCCCTTTTCCTGATCAAAAGGCTTGCTTTAGAAGAGCTTACACTACTTCCGGGGGATTCCTCATCTACATAGACTACATTAACAAAATCCATCTTCTGTTGAGGCTTTGGAGGCTCGAGGAGTACACAAGTGATTCAGGGAGATGGCAATTAACGCAGGAGATCAATCTAACATCTTTTGGCTGCGATCACCGATACTTTCCGGTGGCAATGCATCCCTCTGAAACCCATATCATTTATATGGGAAATCCGGACAAGGCTTTGGTGTCAATAGACTTGAAGACACACAAGCTTACACTCCACACCAAATCATCAGCTTATAGAGACACAATGGTTTACCACTATTTGCGTACTGTATATTTATCAGTAAATGCAGGTTTTGATCACGACGTTTTCTACACACCCCAATTCACACTCCCAACGTGGATGGGGTCGGTCCCTCGTGCACCTTCAATATAGCCATTCTTTGCTTGTTTCGTTTTCTCTTTGTCCATTTTTTCCATGTGAAAGATTACTTTCGTTTAATATAGTACTAGTCCAAGAAATCTCTATACTATTAAAAGAGAAGTACAAATATAAATGGGTCGGGTCAAAATCAGAAAATTGACCCGAAATTCTGAAATCGGATCTTTGAAATTTTTTTGGAATATAAATTCGAATTAATAATGAAAAATCGAACTAAAATCAAATGTTTATGGAAATCAAATAAAATTTGATTTTACTTATGGTAACTAATTATAAAATCATATTCCGAACAATATTATACATTAATTACGTATAATATATTTGTTCATATACTTTTGGAACTAATTCCATAACAATTAACGTTTTTCTCATTAATTTTGCTTATTTTAGCCAGTTATCATTAATTAAAAGATATCTTACTTGCTTCTAGAGATTTCTAAAAAATTTATCACAACTAACCCATCTATTTTATAAATTAGATATTTTTATTTTGGTCGTGTAAATTAAATAGATATGAAATCTATGTAACTAATTTTAATTTAATTAGATTAAATCGAAATTATGGTATTTTCATACAATCATACTTATAGTTTACCAAAGAAGTTTAATTTTCAAATTATAAAGATTTCTTGAATATGATTTTTAGAATTATTCAACAAGATGATAAATATTTATTAAATTTTGTGAATCATGAAAAATATTAATTATTTTTAATCATTATATTTCACCTTTCAATCTCTCATCTAACACATAAGATACATATTCTATAATTTCTATGTCCAAACTCCATTGAGTTGTATGACTAAATAATATTTCTATTAGAACTGTCAAAACGAGTTGATTCGTCCCGTTAAGCCTGTTTTGCAATAGGCAAAATATAGTTTGGCATGTAGTTAGTCTGTCTGCACGACCCGCGGGTAGCATATATGAAACACAACCCCGTCGCGCGAATGTATGCTGATTTGCGGAGTTATCCGTGAATTTTGTTTAAATAATTTTAGAGTAACCAAAATTTAAAATTCTACTAAAATAAATAAATTAAAATGTTTTTAGAGAAAATAATCTTATATATCATTATATTTATAAATATTATAATTTCATTTATTAAAAGTTTTTTAAACTACCACATGTTGAATAAATTATATTTTTATCAATAAATACTATCATGCGGGTTGATCCGCCAACTCCCGGACGAAAACCGATGACCCACTGCGAATCAATACATGTGGCCCGCTTATTTGCGGGTTTAATATATTTTCCCAAATCTGGCCTATAGTGAGATGATTTGGGCTCGACCCACGGTTTTTGACCTATTTTGACTGTTTTAATTCCCATGATTCGTCTAATTTTTGAATTCTAAAACACAAAATTCCATTTTGTAAATCATAATTAATACGATTGGTTTAATTATAAACAATTTAATATTTTCTTTACAATTTGTTATTAGAAATATTTATAAGTACATTACATGATTCGTTCTACTAAAAACACGCACAATATTAAAATCAACGTATGTAAATCAATATTCTCCCGCGGTGGACCGCGGATCCGATCCTAGTGTATTTCTTTATAACCCTCCTTATTTTTTTTGGGAAATGCATGCATTTGAATTTCATTATGCTAGAAAATAATACTTAGACGTAAGTGAGACAATGCATCAGATCACTACAGTTCTTGCGTTTCCTTTGAAGATAGCTTGCGGATTGGAGGATATATTTCTCTCAGACCATATCCTATAAACCCTGTTTTTTCTCATCAAGAAAGGAATCATATTTCAAAATGTTTGCCTTTTCTTCAATATGGCCTTTATAAAAATCGGAAAAGAAAAAAGAAAGCTATGAAATAACTGAATATACGCTACATAGAGTCTCTTAGGAAAATAATCATACAATGTAGGAAAATAAAAGAATAAAGCGTTTGACAACATTCTGTTATTAATTTTTTTTCCTCAATGCATCTTTTTTTTTTTTCCACTATACCAATCTTAATTTACTTATTGGAAAATTAATTGAGCACAAGAGAAAAACATTTTTCCAACGTAAATTATGGTTATAATTGAGTCATAGATAAAAGGGTAAAAAGGAGAATTATAACTGAGCGCTAAATATTTCTCTCCTGTCTCCTATATATTTCGTTGGTGCAAGTATGAGCCGTTTAGTTTCTTGCTTCGAGGGTCTGGTTCTTGTTTTCCCCTGAATCTCTCTCCTCTTTTCTACTTCATTCGATCATTATCTCTTTGCTTCTGGGTTCTTGTTATTGTTCATTCGGCTGAGAATCTCTCCGTTGAAAACTATTTTCTACTTCATTCGATCATTACCTATATATCTCGTGGGTCTTGTTTTTGAATCTCTCTTTTGAAACTGTTCTTCTGCTTCCACACGACTGGATGTCGACAAGAAAGAGAGGACCTCCTCCGCCGTCTGAGCCACCGCCACCTGCGAAGATTCCGTCGACGTCGCAGGCACGAATCTATGGAGTCTCAAATAGACTAGTATGGGAATTAGACCATAGACATGCAGGAAAAAGGAAAATAGAGATCGTTCTTGGTAACGTTTCCTCGATGCAATTCAGTTTTGAAAATAATGCTACTGGTGTTATGGAAGTAGAGGTATATCTATTTGAAATTATCGTTTGATTTCAATGTTGATCGTTCTTGGTAACTAATGCTTTAGTTTTTCTTTTGGCAGTTGGAAAATCCACCAAAATTCTCTTTAGAAACAGATCATGTTGACGGAAACAGAAAGATCGAAACTATTGGTGATTTCACAACAAATACATCTGCTTCACTTTATCTGTATATTCATCTCTATATTCTACAAATCTCAGTTACATAAATTCTGTATGATCATTATTTACATTTGCGACTAACTTACAGGCACCACAAACTGTTCTTCGGAAACGACGTGCTCAGGAAAATTCAGAAAACCATCACCAGTTTCAAAAAACAAGAGTGGGATAACGTTCTGAACAGACAATTCCCCACCAAAACTGATTTGCTGTTCTCACAAGACGCACAACTTAATCAAGGAGAAGATGATGCTGATGCTGTAGAGACTAAAGATCTCAATGTCGTGCAAGACGGAGAAGATGATGGCGATGCTGATGTTGTAGCGACTAAAGATCTCAATATTGATCTCAATGTCGTGCAAGACGGAGAAGATGATGGCGATGCTGATGCTGTAGCGACTAAAGATCTCAATATTGATCTCAATGTCGTGTAAGACGGAGACCTTAATCAAGGAGAAGATGATGCATGCCGATGCTGTAGCGACTATAGATCTCAATGTGGATCTCAATGTGGGTCAAGACGGAGTATAAATTCTCATGTAAGTCCCTCTGTCAAACTCAAGACTCTCTCATCTCAATGCTACGGTTTGTTTTCATGTCAAAACAGAACTTACATTCACTTCATGTCAACAACAGGGCTCGTAGCAATCTCAGGAAGTGGGCATCTAATAAACAAGAGTGTTTCAAGGCGCTTTCTGCAGCTACATTCTTTTTCATTATTAGACGTTTTTGTTTTTTGTTTTGGTTAAGATGAGTAGAGTTGTTGTACTTCGGCCATATTTCCAGAGCCGATAGCCAAATCACTTCCTGTAATCCTCTTAGCTTATATTGGATTAGTCATTAGTGTAACCAGAAAACTCACAAACAGGCAAAATAAAATGATTTGGGAGAAAAAACTGCTGCTTACTGTTACTTGCAATTCATGTAGTTTCTTGAACAGAGTTCCTCTGCAAAATAAGTCTTGAACGTCCGTATTTCATGAGATATGCAGACTCTTATACAAGATGGTTTGCATCACTTCTAAAGACCATAGACAACTTGCCAGCATTAGTCATCTCTGGAACCAAATATGCCCTTGTCTCACTGAATTCCTCCCTGACAACACAGCCAAGCTGATGACTACTGCTGGAAAACCCTTCTCATGCCCCCAAATCTATGAACCAAAACCACACCAAACTGAACAGATTCATGTCATTCTCTTGACCCAAATCTTTCGTGGAAAAAGGACAAGTAGAGGAACCCTCAAGGAGAGGGTTGTGAAAGGAAAATATTGTTAAAAAGCTTCTTGTCGAATTTCAATCTCCCTGCAAATGTATAACCAGAATTGGATTCAGAAATATTGGTGGAGACAGACTGGCGAGGCAAACAGACTCGTGAAAGCATCTAATGCACTGTAAGCCCTCAAGGTTGTAGTGGACCATGCGAGAGGGCACGAACACCTGAGAGTGAATAGAGAGACCTGCTTACGAATGAAACAATTAATGAACGTCTATAAAAGAGTAGACTATCATCAGTTCTATCTATGAGCCAATTCAACACATAGACTCAAAGCATTTGCATGAAACTCTCTTCAGGTTAATTAAAAGCCCAAAGAAGAACAATTTAGTATATGATAACATTGACCAAGTTCAAAATATTCGTGCCATGGCCTCTACAGAAATTACTCAGCCACCAAACTGAATTATAAAGTATTTAAACCGAAAAGAGCTCCTGAAACCTTACCCATACAGATGCTCCTTGTTACGCAAGGAAAGCTCCACAGCAACAAAATACTTTTCTAAGAAAATGTCACTTTAGACTAAAGCCTATATAGTTGGGTCAAAGCCCATATATGGTCAGAAAGAGGCCCATTCAAAAGGTCGGAGATATATGGAGAGTGGTCTAGATGTATATAAACGAATAAAATGGTTTGGCGGGCATTTCTTCAAATGCCAACGAATCTCGAATATTCCATATATTATCTGTCATTTCCCTCTCTGATAAACTACAAAACAAAAACAAAAGAAAAAGGAGGGACAAACATTTTGGGTTAACATTAGAAAAATAGCTGTTTACTATTCCAAATCTGAATAAGATAATTGAGTCTAATTAACCCTATGTTTTATTTTAATTTCTTAACAAAATTGTTAAATTATGATTCTGGCATGAGACGACTGAGAACAAATTGCTCGGACTTGTGTCGGTGAGACCCGAATCAGAAGAAATTGTTTATAGAGGAAGATATTGAACGTTGGATCAGAGGGACCCACAGACACACCCACCAATCCAAGG